TGTGTGACTGTCCTGTCTATAACTGAGTGTGTGACTGTCTGCCTGTAAATGTGTGTGTGGGGCTGCAGGGATTTTGTAGAAGGGGCGGGGGTTTTGTATTGGGACAGGAGTCTTTATAAGGGGGGATAAGCAGGGGATTTGTGGAAGGGGGTTGCGGTTTTTTTTTAGACGGGGCAGTACAGGATTTGTAGAAGGGGCAGGACAGAGGTTTTGTAGGAGGGGCGGGGCAGTACAGGATTTGTAGAAGGGGCAGGACAGAGGTTTTGTAGGAGGGGCGGGGCAGGACAAGGGTTTTGTAGGAGGGGCTGACAGCGGTTTTGCAAAGTTTACAAATTGTAAAAAAAAAAGAAATAAAACCTTTAACATTTTTTACAGGTTTTTTTTTTTTTTGGGGTGGGGGTGCCAAGCACAGGATCCGCCCCGGGTGCCAAATGCTCTAGGTACGCCCCTGGCTGTACTACCTTCGTGGACTGGCCTCCTACCAACTTTCAGCTCGGGGGTGGCAGCAGATTCAGCAAGCAGCATTTGCATTCTGCTTGCTGCTGGGCGTCTTGCTTTCCTCCTGGTCCTAGTGCTCACTAAAAACAAAGTACACATGCTGCTCCAATGTGCAGGGACCATTGGAGGGCCAAAACAGAAACCACAAAGCACCCTTATCCACCCCCAGGTAACAAACCTCCAAACCTCAGACACAACCAATGCACACCACACACACACACTAAACACTGCCAGTGCATTGTGTGAGAATAGAGGGAGCGACACTCAAGGTAGTGGCCAGTTTTTCTAATTACATTTATGTTGAGCGTCGGTACAAGTATTTTGGGCTATCACTTTAGTCTTACGGACGAGCAGATTTTTTTATTTTTAATCCTATCACCTCTGTAATTTAAAAATGTAGAAAAAAAATCAAAATAAACCAGAAACCTTGTACCGTACCGTATTACGTCACCTTAAAGGACTCTAGTTATCATTTTACTACATAATTTAACTACACCTTCTCCTGTGGACTTCAGTATCCAGTGTTCCAGCTATTCAAAAAAAGGGTTTGTGCCCCCTAATTGACACACAAGCTATCAAACTGAGAGCCAGGTTTATGGGCTCTAATCCAGGTGAGCGGTTCCACTTATTTTTGTCCAGGAAGTTTAATTTCTCCAGTACTTTGTTCATGTATTGCCAGTTTAGCCCGTCGAAGGCCTTTTCTGCATCTAGCAAAAGGAAAAGGCCTCCGACACAAGTACGCTCCATCTCCATCCTAGAACTGTTAGATCCCTGACGTCCTTTCATGAAACCAGATTGGTTGTTATGGACCAGTTTGGGCAGTAGTAGTGCTATCCTGTTACTAATCAATTTGGCATACATCTTAGCATCACAGTTCAATAGGGAAATTGGCCTAAAATGTTTACACTGGGTCGTAGTTTTACCCAGCTTAGGGAGCATGGAAATATGTGCCAATAACATTTCTGCAGGGAGAATTCCCTTGGAGTAACAGTAGTTAAAAACGGTCTGCAGTTGGGTGATAGTATGTCGGAAAACATTTGGTAGTATCTGTGAGAGAGTCCATCCGGTCCTGGTTTTTTTTGTGTTAGCAATTGTGATATTAAGTCAGGTATCTCCTTTAAGTCAAACAGCCGTGTGAGTTGATTCCTGTCATTTTCCGTCAGGACGGAGTTCGAAAGTATCTAAGAATTGATCTATGTCTTGGGTGTTAGGTGTGGGGGGTTCGTCTCGTAGGTTATACAGGTTGCCTGGCATTGTATACAAATATGCAAATTTTTGGAGGGTTAAGAATTTTCCGATTACAGGATCCTTCTAGGTAGGCGATTCTGGAGGTGACCGTTCTAGCCTTTAGTTGAGATGCCAACATGGCTCCGGATTTCTATTTCATACGTTGTAGTATAAATGCAGTTTTTGCTAATTAAAGGACTTGAAGTTGTACTTGTAGTGCAAGAAGTTTGGAGTTAGTACTAGAAGACAGGTTGTATTTGTTAGTGTGTCAGAGAGGTGAGTTTGTGATGATAGAAGTATATTTGGCGTCTCTCTCCTTTTTGGCATGGCTAGCATGCTTAATAAATGTTCCTCTAATGTAAGCCTTATGGGCCAACCAGATGTTTTCAATTGAGGAATCCGGGAGGTATTGATAGAAAAATATGATTGTAACTCTGTTTTAACCCCTTAGTGACCAGACTGTTTTTCAATTTGTTTTAACATTTATGCGGTGTATGTGTTTAGCTGAAGTTTTCCTCTTACTCATTTATTGCACCCACACATATTATATACAGTTTTTCTCACCATTAAATGGTCTTTCAAACAATACTATTATTTTCATCATATCATATAATTTACTATAAAAACAATTGTAAAATAAGATGGAAAGTTTTTAAAAAACACACTTTTTCTAACTTTGACTCGCAAAATCTGTTACGCATCTACAACCGACAAAAAACACCGATGCTAAATAGTTTCTAAATTTTGTCCTGAGTTTAGAAATACCAATGTTAACACGTTCTTAGCTTCTTTTTTTTTTTTGCAAGTTATAAGGCAATAAGTACAAGTAGCACTTTGCTATTTCCCAACCATTTTTTTTTCTCAAAATTAACATTGATAATTGTAACACTGATATCTGTCAGGAATCCCTGAATAACCCTTCGCATGTATATATTTTTTAGAAGAAGACAAGTTAAGGTATTAAACTTGGGGTATTTTGACTCTTTTCATGCAACCATTTTACCCCCAATCTATGCCAAATTAAATAAAGAAATAATAATTGGTGATTTTTTGAAACACATAACAATTTAAAAATACATGTACTGAGAACTTTAAGGGTTTCCGCCAAAGAACACCCCTATGTTCAGCAACATCTCCTGAGTAAAGTGATACCACCCATGCATAGGTTTGTTGAGATGTTTGGGGGGTGCAATGCCAAACTTCTGACATGTGTTTTTCAAATTTGCCATATCTTCTTTGCCTATCTTCTATGTGTGTTTTTTTTTTTTTTACATATCCCAATTTATTTTCTTGCCATGAATGTGCATATATTTGAAAAGTTGACACCCCAAGGTATTGTGTATGGAGTGTTTAGATGCCTTTGATGCAACCATTTTAACCAAAAAAATTGGATAAAATGTGGTAGTAATTTTAAAATTTTCATTTTTACACACACATTTGTGTGTGATTTAGGGGAGCCTGTTGTTGGTTATTGCAAGTAAACACTCCAGGTTGTTTTTTGCAAGGCCTTCTGAGTACACTCATGCCCCCATGCATAGGCTGAACTTGATCATAAAAATAGTCTGGCGCAGTAAATAGTCTGCACAGTAAAAGATGGTGTCCTTTCTCTGCCCCCTCTTGAAACAGACTCTGCATCTTTTATTTTATTTATTTATTTATTTTTATTTAATATTTTAGTGATTTTATTTAAGTTTTCACTGAGTGCCTCGACCCCTCGAGGCACTAAGCACACAGGCAGAGCATCGGAAGCCATCAGGCCTGAGCGGCGGGTGGGGGCCCTAAATGTGAATGTGGGGGAGACACCTATTTTCCTACCGCCACCCCTGAGCAACAGGTTGGGCCCCTAAATAACATTCTCCTCCGCCCGGCCCCCACCCCTGAGCAGCTGGTGGGGCCCAAAATAACAATAAGGGGAGGGGGAACCGATTGTCCTGCCCCCACTCCTGAGCGGCGGATGGGGGCCCTAAATGAGAATGAGGGGGTGGGGATCTATTGTCCTCCCCCCGGCCCCCACCCCTGAGCGGGGGTGGGGTCCCCCTGGCCCCCACCCCTAAGCGACGGGTGGGGGCCCTAAAAAACAATTAGAGAGGGAACCTATTATCCTCTTCCCTGCCCCCACTCCTGAGCGGCGGATGGGGGCCCTAAATGAGAATGAGGGAGGGGGACCTATTGTCCTCCACCCCCGGCGTGTGGGGGCCCTAAATACCAGTGGGGGGGACCTATTGTCCTCCCCACCTGCCCCCACTCACTGCTGTGTAAAATGACTCATAACACTGATTGGTTGCTTTCAATTTGAAATCCAACCAGCCAGAGTGCTCTGTCATTTTACACAGTGTGGGAAAATTCCAAAGAACTTTGTGTAAAATGACACAGAGCACTCTGGTTGGATTTCAAGCCAACCAATCAGAGTGCTGTGACAGGTAAATGTAGAGACTTACCTGTCAGTCTCTTCATTTACCTGTCAGAGCACTCTGATTGGTTCAACGGGTATTATGGATTTTTATTTGGCCTTTTTTGGGGCTGAAAAATTATGATTTTAGAAAAAAGAAGACATCAAATGGCAAGTTTTATTTTTTTATTTATTCTTTCCTCCCCCCCTCACTATTTTTAGGGTGAGGGGGGTAGGTAGGGGTTTATTATTTTTTTTGGGGTGTGGGGGATGACTAGGGGCTTGGGGACCCTTGGGGGGGGTAACATTTTCACACTAGGTTCCCCCCCTTATTGTTATTTAGGTCCTCCACCCGCTGCTCAGGGGTGGGGGCTGGGGGGGAGGACAATAGGTTCCCCCCTTATTGTTATTTAGGGGCCCCACCCGTTGCTCAGGGGTGGGGGACGGGGGGCGCTAGGTCCCCCCTTCAGTTTAATAGCCCCCACTCGCGCGGCACGGGTAGGGGCTCAGGAGGGGAGATACTAGGTTTTTGGGTTTTTTTTAACACCGAGCAGCCACTGTTAAATAGACATGCCCCTACTCGTGGTTTTTACTTAGTATTAGTACATTTGGCTAAAAGCCCAATTTAGGTCTTTCAGCCTTTTGGTAGATAGCTTCCTTAATTAGGGAGTTATCTACTTAGCGGCTGCAAGATGCAGCTGCGGCACAAATAGGATCGGAGTTTTAATCATTCAAATTAAATTCCGATCCGAACAAACTGTTCTCATTCTTTTCAAATAATTTTTATTAAAGTTTTAAAATTTTGTATAACAAGTGATAATAATACAAACATTGTATTAGGGGTAGGAAAGGAAGGGTAACTTGGAAATGGGAAGGGGTATCCATCCATCATTGAAATAAACATAATGTATATGGCAAAAATGTTGTACATCAATGCACTTTAACAATAAATATATCAAAGACCATAAACTGTTTTGATTTTTTCTTCCCATTTATCCCAATTATATTTTAATATTGGGAAACCACGCATATTGGCTCTATGCGATAATTCATGTGCCTTGTTTTCTAGAATCAAATTAAAAACTTCTCTGAGAGATGGCACATTTCGGGACTTCCAATGTCTAGGTAAACAGGATGTAGCAGCAATCAGAATGTGGCCTATGATTATTTTATCTGAACTATTAAGGGACTCCGGGAGTTTTTTTAAATAAGGCTAGTTCCGAAGTTAAGATGCTAATGGTTCCGTTCACTTTAATAATTAGATCATGAATCATTTTCCAATAATTAGTTAACTTGGGGCAGAACCACCAGATATGGGCCATATTGCCCACTCCCCCACAGTCTCTCCAACACCGGTCAGAATACATGTTGTTCATGTTGTGCAATCTAGACGGAGCCAGGTACCAGTGATATAAGATTTTATAATGATTTTCAAAATGGTCGGTGCAATACGAAATACCTTTTAAACCTTTTAAAAAAACGAACCATTCTTCTAAATCGTACTGGGCACCCAACTCTGTTTCCCATGACAACATATGTTTTAATTTAACTAAGGGCTTGGCATTATGAAACAAATAGCATAAGGATATCATACCTTTACTAGCGGAGCTGTATAAAAAAACGTTCTCTAAAGGAGATAACTCAAGTGATTTATAGTTTTTATCTGTTTCAGATACCTGGTATAGTTCTTTCAATTTGTCAATGATTAGCATACATTCCAGTTCCCATACATTTGATAATCCATACTTAAGCTTCAATTTTTCCAAAGAAAGAATAACATTGCCATAAAAAAAATTGTCCAGATTAGTTATAGAGCAATCCTTCAACAATTCTATTTTTAAGGATGGCATATAATCTTTCAATAACTCAATAGGCATTGCTCCATATAAACTGGGAGACTGGTCATTTTTAAAAACATGTCCCAGGCCTTAAGCGTAGTCTTGGTAGATAAAAATAATTTTGTAATTCCAGGTCTTTTCTTAGGATTTAACCAAGATAATTCTGATAATCTAACCGGTAAAAATTTTGATTCTTCTATTTCCATCCATCTGGGTTTATCAACCTGGTTGTTAAAGCTCTGTAGCGTTACTTACCTTTTGGGGGCGTGGATATGACAGGGACCAATCAAATTAGATGTTTAGGTATTTATACTCACCTTCTTCCCTTTGTTCCTTGCCCTATCGTGGTTTCTGTTTCAGTTCCCTTTAGCGCTTGTAGTGTTCAGTTGTGTTTTCTCGTATTGACTTTGGCTTCGTATTCTGACTTCGTTTTCGCTTTATCCTTATCTGTACTGTTTGCCGGCTTGCTGTTTTCCGTGTACCAGACCCCGGCTTGTCCTAGTTTACGCTGTCTCTCTGTGCCCTTGACCTCGGTTTGTTCCTGGCTCTGTCTCCTCTCATATACGTCGAGTCCGGCCATTCTAAGGTCCGGTAGACGTATCTCTCCTCTGTATTTGCCTCTGTTTAGCTGGATCCTGCGTGTAGGGGTATATTCTCGTTACATTACGATAGGGCCATGGACCCCGCAGATTTAGCTCAACAGATGGCGTCCCATGAGGCAAGATTTGTAGAGCAGGATCACCGTATGGATCAAATAGCTCAGGCTCTCCAGACGCTCCTAGCTAGAACCGTTCCAGCAACTACACCTAACCCTCCTACGCCCCTTCTCCCTGAAGTATCTACTTTGCCTAATACTTCGGCCCATTTAACACCTCCTCCTAGGTATGGAGGGGACTCTAAGACTTGCAGAGGGTTTATTAATCAGATTGAATTTCACTTTGAAATGTATCCACGTTCATTTCCCACAGAGAGGTCTAAGGTTGGGTTCTTTATGCACCAACTTACCGATAAGGCACTTGAGTGGGCAAATCCTATTTGGGAAGCTAATGGGCCTATGGTACATGATTTCAACAGTTTTCTTACGGCTTTTCGTAGAACTTTTGACACAATGAAAAGGTCAAAGAATGCCGCAAGAGCATTAATGAGAATTAAACAGGGTTCTAGGTCTGTGGCTGATTATGCTATTCAGTTTCGCACTCTTGCTTCGCAGGTAGATTGGACCAACAATGGGTTAACTACTGCCTTTATGGAAGGTTTGTCAGATACGATATTGGATGAGGTAGCAGCTAAGGAGCTTCCTATTGCCTTAGAGGACCTTATCGATTACCTCATCGATATTGATAATAGAATTCGTGACAGGCTCTATACCAAGAACAGGAATAGACGTTTTGTTACACCCATTAACCCCAGAGTTAATATACCAGAGAGTGTTAAAGTGTCTGAGGAGGAACCTATGCAATTAGGGGTTGCCAAACTCTCTGATACTGAGAAATTACATAGGAGAAGGGAGGGACTCTGCCTATACTGTGGTAGGAGAGACCATATGGTAAAGGAATGTCCTTTACTCCCGGAAAACTCTCGCACCTAAGACCTTATAGGGGACTGGCCTTGGGTGTGATATCTAAGTCTCCTAAATTGCCTCCTAACCGCTTGCTTCTCCCGGTTTCTTTATATATGGGAGAGATTTGTATAGTTGACAACATATATGCTCTGGTTGACTCTGGGGCAGCTGAAAATTTTATAGACTCTGGCTTTATAAAGAGAAACAACATTCCCATCAGAGAGAAGGAGATACCCTTGGCCGTTGAGGCCATAGATGGTAGACCATTAAGTTCTCCAGTTGTTACTCATGAGACTGAACCACTACACATGTACACAGGGGTTTTACACTACGAAACCATTCGATTCCAGGTTATCACCTCTCCCTCTTCACAGTTAGTATTAGGGTATCCATGGTTACGTGCTCACAATCCCATTTTTGACTGGGAGACAGGGCAAATAAAATCATGGAGTAAGGCCTGCCACGAGTCTTGTACGTTGGAAGTCACACCTTTGAATTCTATTGAGGTACCTACCAGTCCTCCTTTGTCTATGGTTATACCCCCTCAGTATTTATCTCTAAAGACTGTTTTCGATAAAAGGGAGGCTGAGAAATTACCGCCTCACAGACCCTATGATTGCGCTATTGACTTGTTGCCTGGCACTATACCTCCAAAGGGCAGGGTGTACCCCTTATCGGTTCAAGAAAACCGTGTCATGGAGGAGTACATCAAGGAATCATTAGAAAAAGGGTTTATTAGGAGATCCTCTTCTCCAGCTGGAGCAGGGTTCTTCTTTGTATCGAAGAAAGAAGGTGATTTAAGACCGTGTATAGATTATAGAGGTCTAAACAAAATCACTATCAAAAATGCATACCCTATACCTTTGATTACAGAATTATTTGACAGGCTGAAACATGCCACTGTGTTCACTAAATTAGACCTTAGGAATGCATACAATTTGATACGTATAAAGGAAAATCACGAATGGAAGACTGCATTCAACACTAGATCCGGTCATTACGAATACACTGTTATGCCATTTGGGCTTTGCAATGCCCCAGCAGTATTCCAAGAATTTATTAATGATGTATTGAGAGATTTTATTCACACATTTGTTATCGTATACTTGGACGACATTTTAATATATTCTGCAGATATACACACTCATCACAGACATGTTACGACAGTTTTGAAGACCCTTCTTGCTAATGGTCTTTATTGCAAGCTAGAAAAATGTCTGTTTGACCAAACCGAAGTCCAGTTCTTGGGGTATTTGATTTCCGCTAAAGGTTTTCGTATGGATCCCCAGAAGCTAGCTGCTGTAATAGAATGGCCTCTACCGCAAGGTCTGAAAGCTATTCAGCGTTTTCTTGGGTTCTCCAATTATTATAGACGTTTTATCAAAGGTTTCTCGTCCATTGTAGCACCTATCACTCGTATGACTAAAAAGGATGGCAATACTCGTGTTTGGTCTACCGAGGCACTTCAGGCTTTTGAATTTCTTAAAACTACGTTCGCCTCTGCACCTATTTTACAGCATCCTGTCCCCTCACTGCCCTATATACTTGAAGTTGATGCTTCGGATATTGGGGTAGGTGCTGTCTTGTCCCAAAGATAGTCGCCTGAGAAGCCATTGCATCCATGTGGCTTCTTTTCTAAACAAATGTCCAAAGCAGAGAAAAATTATGATGTGGGTAATCGTGAACTCCTTGCTATTATTTTAGCACTTAAAGAGTGGAGACATTTGTTAGAGGGAACTAAGGATCCTATCCTCATTTTTACGGATCACAAGAACCTATCCTATCTTAGCGAAGCCAAAAGATTGTCTTCCAGGCAGGCTAGGTGGTCACTATTTTTGTCTCGCTTCAATTTTATTATCACCTATAGGCCAGGTGATCGCAACACTAAAGCAGACGCTCTGTCCAGACAGTTCGAAACTACTGACAAACAGGAGATTGATGTTACTCCTGTCATTCCCCCAGACAGGATAATAGCTACTACTATTTTGTCTATTTCCTCGTCCCTCTTGCAGACCATACAAGCGAAACAAAGCATGGCACCTAGCGAGAGGCCTAATGATAAACTGTTCGTTGATGTTCCGGAGAGACGGGATATCATGTCATTATATCATGATACTAAGACCGCTGGACATCCTGGTATTTCCAAAACGGTGTCAGCTGTTTCTCGGTATTTTTGGTGGGATTCCTTACGAAAGGATGTCACCGACTATATAAGTGCTTGTACTACTTGTGCCTGTATGAAATCCTCCCGTAGAGTTCCTTGTGGGCTGTTGCATCCGTTACCCGTTCCCGAGAGACCTTGGTCTAACCTGTCCATGGATTTTATTGTTGAATTACCCCTTCAAATGGTAACACAGTAATCCTGATGATAGTGGATCGGTTCTCCAAAATGGCTCACTTCGTGTCTCTTCGCAAGTTGCCCACATCTAAGGAACTGGCTCATATCTTCGCTAGAGAAGTATTTCGATTACATGGGATTCCCGTATCTATTGTATCCGATAGGGGTAG